AAGGAGAGCATGTGTACAGTATGAACGACGTAGTAAGTGACTCGTCACGGATCCCAGCATGGTGGCACGAGGCAATTACTGGAAAAGGGCAGCAATTTGAAAGTGCAAAAGAAGTTAGAATGGCTCTTATATACTACTCTATAGCTAAGAAGTTCGCTTTCAAATATGTTAACAATGAGCCAAAACGTATTCGTGCTAGTTGCATGTTTAGAGAAGAAACAAACTGCCCGTGGTTGTTTTTCGCTTCACCATTGAGCCATGTGTCGACATTTGCTATAAAGAAATTTGTTCCTCAACATACATGTGGACAACATAACAGCACAGCTGGTCACTTCAGAGCATCAAGAAGGTGGATTGCGAGTATGCTACAATCAATTATGAAGAGGCGTCCATATATAACCCCAACTGACATTAGAAAGGAATTGCACTCTCAATATGGATTAAGAGTTAATTATTCTAAAGCTTGGCGTGCTAAAGAGACAGCAAAAGATGAAATATTTGGTTGCGCAAGGCATTCATATGATTTACTATCCTGGTTAGTCCTCGTTATTTATTGATGCGTGAACGTTATATTTCAAAGTTATTTGTGACAACTTGTTCCTACATCTGCATGTGAGATTTAAACGTTATATGTGATATTTTGACTTTATATGTGACGTTTGAGCATTACATGTGATAGTTAGATCTTGTATGTGATATTTGGACTTTATATGTGACTTTTGAGTATTACATGTGATATTTAAACCTTATATGTGATATTTTGACTTTATATGTGACGTTTGAGTATTTAACAAGTTATTTGTGATTTAACCATCTTTTTAGGTACCAGATGAAGGTGACGGAAACAAATCCAGGCAGTGTCTTCAGCATTGAACAAGAAGAAAGGAGATTCAAACGTTTATTTGTGTCGTATGGTGCATGCATACAGGGGTTTCTCAAGGGATGTAGGCCGTTGCTCTTTCTAGATGGGACTTTTCTGAAGGATCGTTACAAAGGGATCTTATTAGGTGCGACCGCTTATGATGGTAATCAAGGCATATTTCCACTCGCATTTTCCGTTTGTGACCAAGAAAATGAAGCGAATTGGAGTTGGTTTATTCAAGGATTGCGGTATATATTGTACAATCGAACAGAACCATACAATCCACCCCATCCCCTTGTAATTCTGTCAGACGCCGACAAAGGAATAAAGCAATCTTTGAAAAATATATTTCCAGATGCGTACCACTCTAGGTGTGTACTTCATCTTGTTGAGAATTATAAATTGAAGCTTAGAGAGATGGGTTTTACCTCAAGTGCTGCTCAACGTATTTCAAAATTATTGGAGTTTGCTGCATACAAGTACACGGATGGAGAATTTAATGCTGTTTTGCGTCAGATTCGAATGACAGATCAAAGAGCTTACCAAGTAGCTCTAAGTTATGGTCCTAGTAATTGGGCCAATTCTGTATTTCCTGGTATAAGGTACGTCAATTATCATTACCTTTACTGGTTATATTATGCTGTTATATGAAATTGAGCCTTTAAATGTCACATTTCGCTTTTATATGGTCGTTCATCTGTTACGTGTGACCTTTTACTTGTATCGTGTGACAATACTCCATTATATGTGACAACTATCCGTTATCTGTGATTATTTGTTGTTATTTGTGACATTTGTCAGTTATTTGTGACACATAGCGGTAAATTGTGGTAATGATTTTTTGTTTTCAATCAGATATGGGCATATCACTTCCAATGTCGCTGAATCTTTCAACAGTTGGATTCGTGTGGCGCGAACACTTCCCATTTGCGATATGATGGATCACATTCGTGTGCAAATTATGGAAAGGATGAATACTCGTCGCGAGATGGCAACAAAATGGAATAGCTATCTTTGTCCTGAAGCGGAAAAAATCCTCCAAGAAAACGTCACCAAGGGAAGCACTCTTGAAGTATCGCATTCTACAGCTGAAATCTTCGAGGTATCATCACAAAAATCAGTACAAGTTGATTTGGAACACAAAACATGCACGTGTCGTGTATGGGATATATTGCGAATACCATGTAAACATGCGTGTGTTGCTATTAACTTCATGCATAGAGATGTGTACCAGTTCTGCGATTGGTTCATGACGACTGAAGCTTTCAGGAGAAGTTACGAACCAATCCTCTTTCTTGTTCCAATTTACGATAAGCCAGATGTCACAGATGAAACAATTAGCATTCTTCCCCCAAAGACGACAAAGAGACGTGGAAGGAACAAGAATAGGCGTATCAACAACAGATCTGAGAGTAGACGTGCAATTAGATGCTCAAGATGTCACGCTGAAGGACATAACCGAGCCACGTGCACTGAACCTATCGAAGATTAACGTTTCCAGGCAGAATGCAAACGCTTTTGTGACTATTGTCTGTTACATGTGACTTTTGCCATTTTGTTGTGACATTTGCTTCTTGTATGTGACAAATTACCTATTCGTGTTACTTTTGCCACATGTGACTATTGTAACATACCACAACATACCAAAAGTCAATCATACCTACCAAAATGTCACATACAAACATACCACAACATACCAAAAGTCAATCATACCTACCAAAATGTCACATACAAGTCTAATAAGTCACACAACATACTAAAACGTCACATAACGGAATCATACCTACCAAAATGTCACATACAAGTCTAATAAGTCACACAACATACTAAAACGTCACATAACGGCCTCAAATGTCACACAAAATAACAAAAGGTCACATACAAGACTCAAAAGTCACACAGTACACTAAAACGTCACACACAAGACTCAAAAGTCACAGAACATACTAAAACGTCACATGATGGCCCCAAATATCACACAAAATAACAAAGTGTCACATACAAGACTCAAAAGTCACACAGAACACTAAACGTCACATGTGACTATTGTCTGTTACATGTGACTTTTGCCATATGTGGCGTATCACCTGTTCGCGTGACATATTACCTGTCCGGATTTAATATCTTCCAGAACAGATCACAAAGAATTTACAAACAGCTAGTAACTGATAGGTTGAATATTTACAGACCTGTACAAATGTAACATACCATAACATACCAAAAGTCAATCATACCTACCAAAATGACACATACAAGAAGCAAAAGTCACACAGTACACTAAAACGTCACACACAAGACTCAAAAGTCACAGAGCATACCAAAACATCACATGATGGCCTCAAATGTCACACAAAATAACAAAATGTCACATACAAGCCTCAAAAGTCACACAGAACACTAAAACGTCACTTACAAGACTCAAAAGTCACACGTCATACTAAAACATCGCGTAACAGCCCCAAAAGTCGTCAACAACAATCCAACAAATGTCACACACAGCTAGTAAACTGGTTAGCCTGTACATCACCACGTTTAAACAAATGACACAGTTAATGTAGAGTCTAATACTTCCACTCAATCATAGGTACATCACTACCCCCAAAGTACAAAAAATATTCTGGATCATCACTGTCTAATTTCAACCGCAGTTTTTTTCCCTTCACGCCCTTCACATATGAGTTGAGCAGTAAGTCCTGCTCGTAGCATATGTGACTCACTGCGCAAGGCTTCAACTTGCATTATCTCCCTTTCCTCGAGGATCGTCTTGATGAAAAAATACGCACGTATGCCACAATCATACCTGTAGAAATATAACATAACACTTAATACCAGAAATATAATATAACATAACAAGAATATAACACAGAGAATGTAAAACTATCACATAACAGCCCCAAAAGTCACACAAAATACTGAAATATCACATATGGGCCCCAAAAGTCACATAATAGCCCCAAAAGGTCACATAACAGCCCCAAAAGTCACACAGAATACTGAAATGTCACATATGGGCCCCAAAAGTCACACAGAATAACCAAAAGTCACATAATAGCCCCAAAATGTCACATATGGATGTGAAAATATCACCCATTCAAGTATCACATGCATTAATAAACTATTTTAAGTGTAAGAAACTTACGATCCTTTTTGCGTACGACAGGGAACCGCTTCATAATCAAATGCTCTAAATGTCGAACTCTGGTCAAATCCACTCACCATGCTATCTAAAAATAGTTGGATGACCAACACGTCCCTAGCCCATGCCTCGTGGCCAGCGGAGCTGTAATGCCTGCATTTTTTTGCCCCAGATTGACCTCAAGGACATGCCAATGATCAGCATGACATATCGGGATTATCAACACATCCTTCCCTTCGTCGATATGCTTCTTTATATAGCTTTTATAGATCTTTCGCTCATCCAACTTTGAAGCAGTTAGCAACCAAATCTACCGGAAAAAGAAAAGAGATAAAGCGGGAGAAAGTCAAATAACATATAACTGCAAAAAATGATCCACATTACTCACACTAAAATAGGATGTGACAATAGAAAATTTGCGATCCCGAGCGGCATTTTCGGGGAGCTTGAGCCAGTTCTGAAGTCTTGCAACAAGGGCTTCAACCGTCTAATAATTGCAAACGTAATAAATCATGTAAATATCAAAAACTTGACTAACACCGAAACTTAAACAAAAACTAACCTCATCCTTCAATCTTCCACCGCGTAGAAGATGAAGAATATCGTATCTGTTCATAGTTTGGGCCTCAACCTCCAAAACAATCCTCCTACAAAAATGTATCACATACAAGAATGTATAAGCGACATATCCAACCGATTAATAAACTGTCACAGGAGAACACTAAATGTCACATAAAAACTGTAATGATCACAATTTACGTGCTTATGTCACAAACATCATGTAACTATCACAGACCACTTATATATATCACAGAATAATACTTAATACTTACTTGTCAACTTGTAATCATGTAACTATCACAGACCACTTATATATATCACAGAATAATACTTAATACTTACTTGTCAACTTGTAACGTTAGAAAATGTTGAAGCCACTTGTTTTCATCTTCCGACGCATCAGGTACATCACGAATAGTGAAGTTATGATAAAATCCTTCGTCAACTGTTCCCGGTAGCCTGATGTCAAAGTCTTGGGCAGAAGGAATGCTCATATTCAACATTGATAATAAATTTTTTTCATCTTTAGTTTTTTCCCTTCTCCATAGCTGAGGCACGGATGTTCTCATAGGTGGGTATGCCATTTCACGTGGCTTCTTCTCCTCTATTGTCTCCCCCTTGTCATCATCATCTTTCACCAAAACGACACTTTTTTTCCCTTTCATCTTTTTCTTAGGCATTTCTGTACAATATGGAGATTCTAGGGACTTGGGCTTCTTCGTTGTTCTTCGGCTCCTTGCACGGAGCCCCTGAACAAATTCTCCCAAAGTAGACTCACCTTCCTCCCTCCTCTTCCTTCCCCTCTTCTTCTTAGGAACTTCCTCAACAACTTTCCGCGCTTCAGACTATATAAAGATCACAGTTAATGAATATATATAATAGTAACATGACATGAATATATATCACATGAGGAAATCATGCATCACAAATAATAAACAAAAGTCACAGATAAACTGTTTACGTCACAAATAACAGGGAGCTATCACAAACAGTGTGTACATGTCACAGACAACCAAATCTACCGTAGGAGAGTTACCTGCTCAAGTTCAATGCCCACTTCTTGGCCTTGATCACCTTCTCCCTCTGCTTTCTCTTCCTTCCCTTCTTCTTTCTTCGCCTCATCTTGTCTCTCTATTTGAGACTGCATAAATGTTAAGAATGTAACTAATTTTGTTCAGCAAACTTTTCTCAACATAGTTTTTCCTCGTTTGAAATAGGAAATAAATTATAACCTCTTCTTTTTTGGGCATGATTTGTTTCTCTTCCTCAAATCTTTTCTCAATTTCGGCCTTAATGGCCATCGTATCAACGCCACGAGCAACAAGTTCTTGCTCATAGGCTTCATTCAGCATCAACAACTTTTTATAAGCGTCATCCTACATTAACAATAAACTGATAGTGAGTAAATGTCACAAATACAAAGATCGCACATAAAGTCATCAACTTTACCCCTTTTTCCACTCTTTTCTTCCTCGAAGCTTTTTCACCCGTAGCTTCCTCCTCCATTTCAGCCTTCCTCTTTGTAGACTTCTGCTTGATCTCCTCATGTACATACCGCGGCAGGTCATGCTCCGGTAAGATGTGGATTGCGGCTTCCGATTTCTTCGTTGTTGTTGTAGTCCGCAGTGAACCCACCTTCTTACCCTCCAATGTCCAATTGGTCATTGGTGGCTTCGATTCATCTACTTTCGTCGGCTCCTTAATGTTTGATATCTCATAATACCATAGCTACAAAAAAGCCACATTCAAACAATGAAGTATCACATATTAGATATAAATGTCACATGTAAATGGCAATAATCACATACCAGCAGATAATATCACACATTAACTACAAACATCACATATCAGGGCAAATATCACACATGGGTCACAAACGTCACATATAACTAGAAAATATCACATGTAGAAGACACTTATCACATAAACACATATTAACTATAAATATCACATGTCATATATTAGTGTTATATATCACATGTAAATGGAAATAATCACGTGTAACAAGATAATATCAAATACAAACTACAAATAAATAGCGGACTTAAACAATAACAATTAGATATAAATGTCACATATAAATCTCAAATATCACATATAAAGGGTAATGATCACAGATAAGGTGCAAATGTCACTATAAATCTCAAATATCACATATAAAGGGTAATGATCACAGATAAGGTGCAAATGTAACATATAAATCTCAATGGAAATAATCACGTGTAACAAGATAATATCAGATACAAACTACAAATAAATAGCGGACTTAAACAATACCAATTAGATACAAATGTCACAAAATAAACTCAAATATCACATATAAAGGATAATGATCACAGATAAGGTGCAAATGTCACATATAAATCTCAAATATCACATATAAAGGGTAATGATCACAGATAAGGTGCAAATGTAACATATAAGTCTCAAATATCACATATAAAGGGTAATGATCACAGATAAGGTGCAAATGTAACATATAAATCTCAAATATCACATATAAAGGGTAATGATCACAGATAAGGTGCAAATGTAACATATTACTTCCACTCTACACAGTTAACTCACCGATAGCAAGGGAGCGCAGCCGCTAAGATATGTCAGCCCCTTCGTCGCTTTCTTCACAGCCTTGAAGGAGTCCCACAATTCCTTATAGATGATTGTCGCCCATGGGAAATGATCAACCGCATCTACTCGAGCCACATATTTGAACATATGCTATGGTGCATTCATTCTCGCGGTCGGGGTCCATATCATTGTCAATTGATAGAGGATTTGAAGCATAACAAAATCTAAAACATCGGATTTCTTTTTGGACCGAACCAATTTCTCCAATAGGACCTCAAGGTAGCCTCGGCCACTCTTGTATTGTGATTGTTGCTTGTTGCTGAAGTATGTGGTCTATATCCTATTATCCATGTCGCGATTGCCTTCGGGTTTCTCCCCTTCATCATTAAACCGAGTATGTTTGCGCACCCAATTTAGATCAAACGTGTACGCTTGTTTAGTCCCGGTTTGGCTATCATTGAAGAAAAACTTCCCCGTGGCTAAATCCACATTATCCAGCAGCAGCATGATGGTGGCCTTGTCGGATGGAATCATACCAAAACTAACATAGTTCTTGAAATTGGAGGATCCATAAGCCCTCCAATGTTCAAACCTCATTTGTGGGACAATGCCATCCATGAATTGACAATATCCACGGATATTGCAACAAATTCTTATATCATGCTTACTGTAAAAGACAACACAACAGATACTAAATCAACTTAGGGTTCTAATGCGTATAAATTCACAATGCCAAACAAATTAAATGAACAGATGTGAACAATTGGGTAGATACTTACATCTCAGGCTTTATTGTAGCTGATTCAGATGTCTGAGATGATGAATTCGCCATCCTGTATTTTCAGCAGCGTCACTGTGGGGTTCGGTGAGGATGAGAGATTCTGGCGGTCGACGAGCTTGCGGTCGGTGGGGGCGGTCCTTGTCGGCGGACGAGAGTCGACGAAGTAAAGGAGAGTCGCCGAAGACGAAGACGACGAGCGGCGGCGGATTTCAGAAGAAGAGGGTTTCGAAGAACGCGAGGAGCGGGTTTCGAAGAAGACGAGTC